CTCATCTGTGTTGAAATTTGTACATTGGGCTTGTTTTTGGAAACCAGTGTATAACTGCCATCAAATATCATTAGTTTGGCTAGCCTAGAGTTTAGTTTGTGTTTAAATGCATTGCTGAGGACTGCTACACATTCTGGATTAACTTGGAGTAACAGTTGCTTAGTATAGGATTACAAGGTATCACAATTACTCCTGGCATATCCAGGTATCCTCAGCATGCAAAATATCCATCATGAAAAATGGGAGGGCAGCTAATTTAAATCTCTTAAATGGGGCTTGCATCTGCCTTGAAAATTATGCCAAATTTGTCATTAGATTTCTTCTGAGTTAGTTCCAACATCCACACTTTCATATTTGAGTCATGATACACTGAGCACCCTAGAGAACTTGCTGTCAGATCTGACCTCCATCTGTACCAGCAATTAATGTGTGACACTGATTAATTGCTCTTTGCCTCAGTTTCCCCATCTCTGTCATGGGGAACATTTCCAAATGTGGTCTGTTGCTGGTGAAGTGGTTTACGGCTCAAATAAACACAAATTAGAATATAATCCTATATTTCTCTGTCAAATGACCAGTGTGTGGTCAGCAAAGCAACACTGACCCAAGCTCAGAATTCTGTGTACTCTAACTCAAAAGTTGAAAAGTACTTTCTGAATTACTCATCAAGTTCCATATTTAAAATGTAATTTACCCTCTCAGGAACTCCAAAGTTGGAAGTTAGTGCTGCTCGGGGGCTGCAGTGGGGCTGGTTTTTTCTTTTTGGTTTTGTGGGGTTTTGGTTTGGTTTTTTGGTTTGTTTGGTTTTTTTTTCTGTTGTGTTTGTTCTTGGCATTTGTGACTTGTCCAGCTGTGTATTATTTGTAAAAGTACCTTGATTTTTACTTAAATTGCTTTTCACTCATTCAGGTCCTCTTGAAACAGCTCTTTTGGGAGGTTTAGAGTAGGCAACAGTTGGATCTTTATGCTGACTTCTAGCAGCACCAGGCATTTTGTTTAACAATATACTTTCCATGTTATGTTTCTCCAGTGCCACTGACAGTTACTGTGATGTGAACCCCAGCTCTCACTCCTCTCCTCCCCCTGTACAGCGCCAAGTTGAAAGGAGGCGAGAACTGGTGCGGTCTCAAACGCTCCCACGGGCTACAGGAACACAGGCCAGGAAAGCGCTTTTCGACAAATCTGAATATGGAGCTGGAAGGTATGTTGAAGCCTCATCTCCAGCATGGGTTTGTTAATGGGAAAATAATTTGTTGATTACCAGCAGAGGACAGCTGGGTGAGAGGACTTGACTCTCAACGTAGGAGTTTGAGCTAAGGACAATACAAGGTCATGTGTAGCTTCCCTGACTTCACAGACTGGATGCTGGGAATTCACATCTATATGTTCTCCTGGCTTTGAAGGTGTTCAGCTGAAGAAGCAAGTGCCTTTTATCAGGAGAGAGTGCTGTGGAAGATGCCTTCTCTGTTATTAAAAGAGGCTAGGAATACAGTCATTTTGTGTTGCCATTCACTAAGGACCGAAAGCATGGACTGTTCTCTATGTACCATGTCGGGGGTATAATTTAAATAGAAGAGGCTTGGAATCAGTCCTGTCATTAGGGAAATGGAAATCAGTTTTTCTTGTAGGACCAACAAACTGGTTTCAGCAAGATGTTTCTCAAATATCACCTGGACAGGGGCTGACCTGGGCAAGGTTGTGTAGGTGGTGCTTACAAGTAGGTTTAAATTTTTCTAGAATGTAATTTAATCTGGTCTCTGTTAATTTTCCAGAGGAAAAGGTGAATCCAGAGCTAAGCTGAAGAGGTCGCAGAGTTTTGCGGTTGCCAGCGCTAGCAGCATTAAACAAATTCTGTTAGACTGGTGTCGCTCAAAAACCATAGGATACAAGGTGAAGACACACTGGCACTTTCAGCTCTTTCTTTCTCAGGAGAGTTTGCCAAAAAAGTGTACTCAAAAAGTGCATGTAAAACATACTAAACAATGAGTTAACTTTCACAAGGCCATCAAGTTCTGTGTGGGTAACACAAACATCGTGGTTTGCATGGGCAACACTTCCAGACAGCGATTGCGTGAGTGAGATTCTGTATGTCTGTCAAAGCAATGCATTAGTGTTTGTCTGAAAGCCTACATTTTTCTGCTTCTGGATAAGGACTTCAGTATACACTTGCACTTTTTTCTTAGTTACAGGCTTTTGCATTCTCATTGTATATGGCAAGATCTGACATTTTGTCAGTATGTGGAGACTGTGGCCCTTTTGCTACACAGCAGACCAAAGTACCCTCTACTGGTGTTGGACATGTGAATTTGTAGTAAATAGTTAAGGCTGAATCACATGGTGTTAGTGAGCTAATTTCTATGAGGTAACATCAGCACAGCTAAAAAAAGTCAGCAGTTGAGATTTTAGGAATTTTACCGGGCCTTAAACTGAAACTGCCAAAATAATTTCCATGAGAAAGAAAATCATGTGTGTAATATGTTTTTCAGAGTTATTGTAAAATATGCATTATTATTGCTGAACTCTAAATTATAGTATACATAAGCAGAACTAGTGAAAATGACTGTCAGTTGCTTACTGGAAAAGCTGGGACTTTAATTTTATATGATGGCAAAGTAGCATGAGACAGGAGCCCAAATACATTTCTTTTCACTGTGGCAGTGGAAAGTAACAATAAACATTTGTTCTAAGAATCAGGTTTTGCAAGAGGTGTAATGCTTCCTATATTTCTTCCTGTCTGTGCGTAAACAGGCATTGAATTCAGCCTTACTGAAAGCAAAGCAAGCAAGCATAATCTTTATCTAGTGCTATTGACAGCCACAAAACGAACTGTTCTTCAGTTCTAAATGCTTTACAGGGATAATCAGCATCCTAACTTTTCACAGATACTCAGCTGGTGCATTGGGCCTGCTCCAGAGCTCACGTTCTTCCCAGTATTTTCACTGGGGTTTGGATCAGGCAGCTTGGCTGTGTGTCTGCTTTGCATCTGAGCATTGCAGGCAAAAGGCTTTCATTTGCTGAGCGTGCTGTTTTTTCTCAGAATATAAATAATGTAATGGATATACTAAAAGGGAAAGACAAACCATGAAGCCTGTGCTTTGTTGCCTAGGTTAGTGGGAGAGGACAGAAAACTTCAGTAAGCAAAAGCAGTTGCACTTCCTTCTTCACCCATACTGCATTAACGTGCATGATTTTTTCATTATGACAGCACATTGATCTCCAGAATTTCTCCTCAAGCTGGAATGATGGGATGGCATTTTGTGCTCTTGTGCATTCTTTCTTTCCTGAGGCTTTTGATTATAATAAGCTGGACCCAGCTAATCGCAAGCAGAACTTTGAGCTGGCCTTCACCATGGCTGAGTGAGTATCACATTAGATCTCTGTGAAGTGCTTCCAGTTCAAGTCTAATGCAGGTGGGCAGCAGTGAAGAGTTTAATCATTGTGATAGATACTATATCACTAGCTTACATGTGTCATGCCAAAAAAGGTGATAAAGCCCTGCCTAGAGAATGCATAGGACATGAGCCTCAGCAGTCTGGAGTCAGAGGTGGTTTTACCAGGCACAGGGTTATTCACTGGAAACAAGCCACAGCCACGTGGGCCTTCATTGGCACATTTCATCTCCTCTCATGTTTCCCCATTCTTTTGGAACTTCATATATTATAACCAGAAAAACTCAAGATTTGCAAGCTTGAATGACCCTGCTTACTGAGAAATGGGCAGGTGAATGTGAGATTGGGCTACATGCTACAGATACCAGGGATGTGAATGGCAGCCAATGAAAAAAAAAAAAAAAGGCCCTACAGGGCTGTGGATCAGAGATCCCAGTACAGAAGAGGGAAAGAACTGGAATATTCCATGGTCACAAAAATAAGTCTCTAACCTGAGTTTGACCATTTCATAGTAAAATGAAATGCTGCTGATAAACCTCAGGATTTCTTAAATGCTTCAGTGATGCTCAAATCAGAGCAGAAAATGAATCTTGGCACTGGTTACAGGCTTCAAGATTTAACTCTAGATTCACTGTATCTGTTTTATCATTACCACAGGAAAATGGCTCATTGCGATCGTCTGATAGAAGTGGATGACATGATGGTGATGGGTCACAAGCCAGATCCCATGTGTGTCTTCACATATGTCCAGTCTCTATACAATCATCTACGACACTTTGAATAAACCTGTTGACACCTCTGGACTGAAGGGTTAAGTACCCTGCTAACGGAAAGAGTGGCATTTTGCAAACGGAACACTTATTTCTTGCTTTTTACTGTCCCTTTGCTTACGTTCAGCTGTGTGGCTGACTGAAGTGCTGCTGAGCAATGCCCTGAAGTGTTGCATCACATCAGTGTTATTTGTCAGTAATACAGAAATACATTTTTAAAAGGCAAAAAACACAGGGAAAAGTAACTCTGGTGCTACCAGAGGGTTGGATTTTTAATATTTGTTAAAGGTCACAGGAAGCTAAATTGCTGTCCCTGTCTCTGTTAGGCTGCGGACACAGTCTTATGCAGTGACAGTAACTGCTACGAAGTTACTGCTGCTCTTAAAATACAGGTAAAACTCCAGAAAATAGCGTCTTCAATTGCACTTCTCTGTTAAGCATGGCACAAAATAAATAGCAGATGAAAATTCCAAGAGTACTCAACTGCTAGGGTGTTATTGCCTCTCCTCCACCCCTAACCCCCACTATAGCATAAGTACATGTACACATCAAACAGGCATTGTTCTGTACTCTTAAAGCCGAACAAGAACATAGCCTCTTGCCTGCTGACTGGGGTGATGGATAACTACCATGTTACAGACCAGCATTTGTCTGTAATGGTCAAATCTAAAGTGATTTGCTTAAAGGCTTGCTAAAACCTCTGCTTGCAGTACTGGATTTATTTCCTGATTATGAAGGACAACAACAGCTGGGCTCTTCTGTGTATAAGAGTGTGTTTGCATGATTTAGAATTACGGGGGGGGGGGGGTGTAACAAGGTACAAAATCCTCTGAACACTCAGAAGCAAGCCTGTAATGTGCTTTGGCCTAGACTCTGGGGGAAAGCAACTCTCCAGTGTGCACGGGAATTAAGTCTTGATGACTTGCTCAGTCCTCGTGCTGACTCAGAGGTGGACAGGCAACATGCCGAGAAAGTATGAAGGGTGGGAGTTTTGAAATGCCTTGGACTAATTTCCCTTTTTGGTTAAATCAGTGTTAAAACTACAGTGCATTAGGATTATCCCAGATTTACTGAACAAAAAGGTCATGTGTCACCCTTTCTGTTTTTTTCTTTGATAAATCAGCAGAGTTTTGTTTTCATAATGAATGTTAAAAATAAAACCTAAAAAAAGCATACTTCAGAACAAAAAAGCAGCTTTTTACAAGTATTTCTACCCTAAGAGCAGGCTCATAGAAAGTAAAAACTGAAAGCCATGAGCCCTCTGCTCATGCTAGAAAATGTTTATTAACCTGCATTTGTGCTTTTTGTAGATATTTATAAAGATTACTTTGGCTCTGTATTGATGACCATTTGTAATAAAATGTCAAATGCTCTCCAGATTTACTGCTTCTCTTTAGAATGAAGTTTTTTTAATTTGTCTTTAGAATGACAGGTAACAAAGTAAACTTGGTGAAAAGAAACTAGAGCTTTTCCTCAGAAGTTTTTTATTCTAGTCATGATGCTGTGTGCTCTGAATTTCAGTTTTAAAAGTACATAAGTTTAATTCCATGTGGAATAGGATTTTAGTTCATCCTCCCTTTCTAGTGACATTTACTTAAGAAACCCTGAGTGAAGTAACCACTTCTGTTAGCAGTCTCAGGAGAGAAAACAAAAACAAACCCCCAAAATTTACCAAGGTAAATCATAACTTAATGTGAAGGTCTGCATCATCTAGTTCTGTTTGAAGGGTAGCTAAGCTGTTGCTATGCCACTATGAAAACAGCTTGAAAGACTTAGTATCTGAAAGATACTAGGTCAAACTAACAGGATCCTTGGTATCATTAATCTCCCATCTTTAGTCCATGTGGACAGAGGTTGGGTGGGCTGTTCATATTTGTCATGTGACTTAAGGTTTTGGCTTTGTCTTGAATGACCATAATTGTGAGAAGGAATTATGACATGCTCCTGTTGCTCCATGAAATGCAACCTTAAGGATAAACACACTGTACTTGTGTTTTGGAGAGATGATTACAGTAAGCATGATCAGAAATCTATCCACAACTGGCACATGGGATACACATATTTGCATTCTTACAGCAGAATACTTTCAACTGACTAGCAGAGCTATGTTCCATCATAGCTATAAGAGGATAAATACTGCTTTATACATCTGTCCTGGGTTCAGCAGTAGCAGTCATGTTTCTCCTTCTTGGTAGCTGGTGCAGTGCAGTGTTTTGACTTTTGGCCTGGGAACAGAGCTGATAGCGATGTTTTGGTTTGGCCAAGGACTTTGTGAGCCTCATGCTCTGCCAGGGAGGAGGGGAAGCCGGGAGGAAGCAGAGACAGGACACCTGACCCAAGCTAGCCAAAGAGGTATTCCATACCACAGCACGTCATGGCCAGGATGTAACTGGGAGTGAGCCGGAAGGGCTGGGAGACTGCAGGGTTGGAGGAGGTATGGGTTGGTGCTTGGTGGGGCAAGTTATCGGTCAGCTGGTGGTGAGGTGTTGTATTCTCTTCCCTTGTTATTTCCTTTATCATTATTATTATTGGTAGTAGCAGTAGTGATTTGTATTATACCTTAGTTACTAAACTGTTCTTATCTCAACCTGCGGGAGTTGCATTCTTTTTCGATTCTCCTCTCTGTCCCTCCGGGAGTAGGGGGAGGGAAGGTGGGGGGAAGTGAGTGAACGAATTGTCTGACTGGGTTTAAACCACGACAACATCACATTCCTTCATAGTCCCAGATCATGGGTGATTTTCCTGTCATGTGAATGTTAAAGACACATATAAGTGGTTGGCCAGTTCAGGCCTACTAGCATATTGCAAACAGTGACATTATTGCCAATTCACTAGTGGGGCAGGGGTGTGTGTTACATCTTTTCTATGACTTAATTTGCTGTCACAGCTAACCAGAAGCTATTTTACAGGTTGTTGGGGTTTTTTTTTAAGTCTTCCCACTTTAGTGAGGTGATGGTTAAGATACCTGGTGCTTGCCAGCAAACTAATTGCAGGGTAGCAGAAGACTGTAAGTTGAGTTTAACTGCTGGTGGTTTGCATGTAAGAAGATGAAGGAGATGGTGCTATGACAAAATTTTAACCTTGACTATGAGATTGTATGATTATATTGACATTAAAGTATGTAATGTTTGCCCCTGCTGGATTTTTTTGCATTTAAGGAGGAAAAAAAAAATGCCAAGAGAGTGTGTGTTTATGACAGCAAATGTGTTCAGCATGAATGATAGAGTGAACAACATGTTAAGTCAGTATAGTATATGTTTTACATAGATGGACTGTTTCCTGGCTTTTCTAATGTTTCTGCACTGTATCAAAATTCAGTACTAAGGTGATTTATTGCATCTGGATCCAACTTTTAAAGGCCACATCAGTTTGTTCTGTGCAAGATTTTCAAAATAATCTCAGCAGAGACATAAAGGACAGCAGGACACTCACTTTTTAAAATGATGTTTGTGTACAGCTTCCCAAAGCAGGGAAGTCCTCCTTGAAGTACAATTGTATGGACACCTTTCAACACATTTCCCTTTGTGTGACATTTCCAATGAGGTGTATGCTTGAACCAGTGCAAAACTCTTGGATACATGTAATTAGGTATAACAATAGCCCATATGGTTCCACCTCTGTCATTAATTTAAACCTGGCCTGATTTGCAGAGATAGTTTCAAAATGTCCAAAATAAAAGTTGGCATTGCTTTATGTAAGGTACATTTAAAAGTCACTTTTGGTTCTGCTAAAGTAACTCTGGGTCTAGATAAAGCCTCTGGGGAACTGACATCGAATCACAGATAGATAGTTTAGGTCTGAGGGGACCTCTAGTCCCTTCCAACTAGAGGAAAGGCCATCTAGTCCACCCCCCTGCAATGAGCAGGGACATCTTGAACTAGATCAGGTTACACAGTACACGCAGCCTGGCCTGGAGTGTCTCCAGGGATGTGGCATTTACCGCCCCTCTGGGCAACCTGTGCCAGTGTCTCACCACCCTCGTTGTAAAAAAATTCTTCCTTTTATCTAGTCTCAATCTACCCTCTCTTACTTAAAACTGTTACCCCTTGTCCTACCACGACAGGTCCTGCTATAAAGTTTGTCTCTGTCTTACACACTCCTGTTCTAAGTACTGGGAGCTGCCCTAAGGTCTCCCCAGGCTCAACAAGCCTGGCTGTCTCAGTCTTTCTTCATAAAGGATTATTCCAGACCGCAGTGAACACTGGAATTCAGACCTGTTATGCAGTCTGCTTTACCATTTCAGAAACATTGCAAGCGAGCAGTTGATGCTGCAGTATCAGCTCAAGCTAGTGAGCTCTCCCACTTCAACCCGCTGTCACAGCAGTTTGGATGGACGGCCGTTTAATCCTCTGAAGAATGGGACTATCTGTGATGATTTTAATGCCTCCAATAAGGACCGCGGTGCCTCGTTTAGATTCCAGTCTCATCAATGCCGGTTAACTGCACTCCTCCGCAGTGTTTTTCCGGGATGAGGGCTTCAGCCGCCTCCCCGCCGGTAACGCGCGCTCACCCTGGCCCCGCTCTCCCGATGGGGATGGCGCTGCGACCGTTACCGAGGAGAGCGCCGGACGGCTGCGGCGGCCGCTGATTGGCTGCTGGCGGCTGGGGCGGGGCCGGGGCCGGTGGCTGCCGCCGGGCGGTACCGGTGCCATTCCCCTTTGCGCTGCCCCGGCTACCGGTTGGGTCTGCTGCTGCCTGGCGGGCAGCGCCGCTGCCAGCCTCAGGGAGTCTGCAGTGATTTAGCCCCTGAAAGCCATGTGAGGTAAGAACAAACCTTCCGCATGCTGTGTAATTCATGTTGAAGGACCGGTTGTAAAACCCAGTTGTAAATTTGGTATTAACACTTTAAAAGAAAGTATCTTTGTTATGGTAAGCTAACAATGAAGAATACCTTTAGGGCTGGTCACTACAAATGAATTACTGTATGATGGTATCGCTCACGGGTTGGGTCAGGACAGCACCAGATACTGGGTTTTCAGAACACAGCTGCGTGCAGGTCTGTGGGTCTCACAGGAACGACACTGGCGATTGCTCAGCTTTCAGAGTGACCGAGCACGTTTTCAGAAACAAAATGTTCATTGTTTTCAACCACTGCCAGCCACTGCTCATCATTCTCAGTTTATTATGAGTCGTTCTGTCACCCGTCTTTAATTTGCTCACGTTGCTTTTAAAGCCTTGGAATGTTACAGAGAGTACATACAGGTATTAAAACTTTGTGGAAGACAAACTAATATGCAGTCTGATGCATACTCTGTACTCATGGTGGCAGAAGTAAACCTTGGTTCAAACTAGCTCCAAGTTCAGATCTACTTAAGTCATTAGAAATCTTGCAGTTATAATGGAAATGGCTGCAGATCCTGCTCCAGCTGTTAGTGTGACAAAAATTACTGCTTTCAGCAACTTGTCTTAGCATATTAATAATTTGTTAGAAAATACCTCCTGGGGAGAAAGAGAGCGGGAAGTGTTACCTGGACCAACGGCAGGCAGAATGTACAAACCAAGAGACAGTCCATGGAAGTATTGCTCTCTTGTACAAATAGTTGTGTACTACACGTGTGTAGTATAATATATATACTGATAAAACTGATATACATATAAATATTATATATAGAAATAACCATATAATACATATATACCATATATATACCATATAAACTGATTTACAGGTCTGTCTCAGAAGTGGTCTATGTAATTGATTCTGATCAGTGTTCAGCCTAGTCCTAGTCTTGCTTCACCTTGTGAATCAGAAGCATGCTGAGCGTCTGTGACTACAGCTTTCCATCCTCCTGTATCAATTAGTGTATGTTTTTCATTTTCCTTGCTTGTCTTACACCCTATCCTCTGCTGCTTCTTGAATATCTAGGTCCTTCTCATCCCAGAGTAATGTCAACCCTGTGTTCTGAAGCCTGTATTTTTCTTTGGCTAACTCTGAAATGCCTGCATTTTGCTGTAAGACAGTGTCTCTTCAGTTAAAAAAAAAAAACAAACTTCTTTTGCTCCTCTGGAGTACGTGCAGATTTCTGTTTCCAGGGCAGCTGGAACGAGAGGCACTGTAGTTACCAGTTTTAATGATCATTGAATTTAGCTCCTGTTAAATTGAAGATCATGAGCAGCTTTCTAGCTGTCACTTCACTGTATTTGCAGGCAGCAATTGCAGTTACTTCCCACTTTTCTGTCTTGGACCAGGTCAACTTCTTCTGGGCAATGCTACTTGCTTCCTTCTCAGTTTGCAGTCTCTTTGGACCTTGCTGGGAACTCTGAGAAACCGTGTTCTCATCTGAACTACGTCAGAGATATTCAGAGGGGGCATAACTGTTCCATCTGATGTAATGCTCTTTTGCCTCCTTCATTTCTTCTGGCTGGCTCCCAATCTCTTT